CCTTTTCTAATTTGTCCACTGGAATAGGGGCTGGGTAGTGTATATCTTTCTATCTCACACAAGGATACCTACAGATTTGCTTGGGGAGAGGAAGGGTGGAAGAGCACATTTAAGATACAATGAGGAGATAATTGGCAAAATGAAGTGCCTGGCTACAAAGGGGAGAAAAGAGCTGAGGATGCCTTCTAGATTCTAGCTTATTTCTTTCAGCAAGTACTAAAAAAAGTCGGCCAATGTGTTTGAAGTGCTTTTAGCTAATACACAAAGACAAATCAGTGTACCAACTCAGTACTTACCCTGACTCATTAATATGCTGGATTTAAAAATCTAGATAGAATCACCTAGTTTGAATCTCACTCTGTGGATGCAAAAACTGAGTCCCAGACAGACTGTAACTTTGAGTTCAGTGTGTTCCATCCCTTAGTGGTTTCAAGTTCTTTTAAACTTGTGGTTCTCACACTGAAGTATGTATCATAATCACCTGGAAGGCTTTTTAAAACAAAGATTGCTGAGCCCCTCTCCCTAGAGTTTCAGTAGAGATCTGAGGTAAGGACCAGGAATCTGTATTTGTAACAAGGTTCCAGGTGATACTAATGCTACTAATGAGGTAACTTTTAAAACTTAAAAAAAGAATACAAAATAAAAAAAAAATTTTAAATACCATTTATATAAATATAATTAAGACTATACTGGGGCTCCTGGGTGGTTCATTCGTTAAGCGTCTGCCTTCGGCTCGGGTCCTGGGATCAAGTCCCACATCGGGCTCCCTGCTCCGCGGGGGGCCTGCTTCTCCCTCTCCCACTCCCCCTGCTTGTGTTCCCTCTCTCGCTGTGTCTCTGTCAAAAAAATAAAATCTTACTACTCAGCTATTCAAATCCTAGTTATTTATAAAAGAGAAATAAATCTTTAAAAAAATCTTTAAAAAAAAGACTAAAGTATACTTAATATAAAATATATAGTTAACTATATTATAAAATGTGAATATATATTTTGTAAAATATCAAGACATATTAAGTATAAGCATATGAATATTTTATAAATATTATATAATATATAATACAAATATACATTCAGGGTACCAAGTTAACTTCTTTTCTATCATGCTTTAATATCTAGGTTAAAAGCACTGGAAATTAAGTTCTTTCTAAAGAATCTAGAGTACAGGTCAAACTCCACAGGATGCTATAGTGTTCTAGCCCTGGACCACCTTTCCTCTCATTTCCTACAAATCCTTAGACCCGAGACATACCAAACAATTTACACCCTGTAGTATAACTAAAACAGCAAGCTTTGCAGTCCAACAGACATGTGTTTCAATCCCAGCCATGCTATTTACCAGCACTGACCAATGGTGCCAGGCAGGAGTGAAGATTTGGTAATTTATTCAATAATTCATTTTGACTAAAAGCACAAGCACATACATGCCTATTCACTGTACCATTCCTGTTTTTATCTGTATCTGGAGTATTCTGTATTCCAATCTCCAGTGCAGACATATGTACCCACTTCCTATTGAATTGTTGATTCTTTCAATGGTGAAGTGCTCAATAATCCCTCTTTTTCCATGTATCTTTAGGCAATGTTGATCACTCCAATTTGTGTGCCTCTACATCAACTTTTACATGATACTTTTTTTTTAAATCACCCTTATTAAATTATAATTTACATACAACAGAATGTTCCTGATGTAAGTGTAAACTTTGATGAATTTTGACAAGTTTATATATTCATGTAAAAACCACTATAATCAAAATTTAGAGCCTATCAATCACCCAAAGGATTCTGTAACACCTGTTCCCTCTTAGTCAATCTCCACTGCCTAACCACAAGCAACAAGTGCTAAGCTTTCTGTCAATATAGATCAGAACCATCATCTCCAGAATTTCACATAAATGGATTCATACAGTTTACACTGTGTCTATTGCCTTTTGTTCAGCATATTTTTTGTGAACTGTTTTATTAAGGCTTAATTTATATATAAATTAATCCATTTAAAGTGCTCAATTTGATGAGTTTTAACAGCTGTATACATCCAAGCAACAACCACTACAATCGAGACACAAAACATTTTTATCACCTCCAGAAGATTCCTCATGCCATCCATCCCTTCACACATGAATATACACTTGTATTTGGCTTCTTTGACTTAGCAAGATTTCAAATTTATCCATGTTGTCGTGCCTATCAAGAGTAAATTCCTTTGCACTGCTGAGTATTTATTCTGTAATATGGAACTACCACATTTTGCTTATCCATTCACCCACTGATGGTTATTGGGGCTGTTCCAGTTAGGGGCTACTGGGAAGAAAGGTGGCATGAGTATTAGTGTATCAGTCTTCGGAGTAGATGTTTTCATTTCTCTTTTATAAATAACTAGGATTTGAATAGCTGAGTAGTAAGGTATGTATATATATAAAACTCCTTAAGAAACAGCCAAACTGTTTACCAAAGTGGTTACACCACTATAAAATATGCTAGGAATATCTGAGAATTCCAGTTACTCCATATCCTTACCAGCCCTTGGGAGCGCCACAATTTTTTTTTTTTTTATTCATTTGACGGAGAGAGAGCACAGGTGGGGGGTGGGCAGAAACAGGCTCCCCACTGAGCAGGGAGCCTAATATGGGGCTCGATCCCAGGACCCTGGGATCATGACCTGAGACAAAGGCAGCCACTTAATCGACTGAACTACCCAGGTGCCCTCGTGCCAGAAATTTAAATTATATTCACTCTAATAGGACTGTAGTTTTAATTTGAATTTCCATGATGACAATTTTAAGCTTCTCTGTGTGTGCTCATTAGCCATTTAAGTGTCTTTTAAATATTTAGCGGATTTTTAGGGACTTCTGGGTAGCTCAGCAGGTTAAGCGTCTGCCTTCGGCTCAGGTCATGATCCCAGGGTCTTGGGATGGAGCCCCACATCACGCTCCTTGCTCAGCACAGAGCCTGCTTCTCTCTCAGCCTGCTGCTCCCCCTGCTTGTGCACTCTCTCACTCTCTGACAAATAAATAAATAAAATCCTTTAAGTAAACAAACAAATATTTAGCTGATTTTTAAAATTTTTTGGCTGTCTTACTGAGCTGTACAGTTCCTTTTTCAGATGTATTAGAAGTATTTCTTTTCCCAGTCTGTGCGCTTGCCTTCTATTTCTTAATGATCTTTCAAAAATTAAGTGTTTAATTTTGGTCAAGTCCAACTTATCAAAAAAATTTTTTAAAGTTTATGGCTCAAGTTTTCTGCATCCTGTCTAAAAAGCCTTTACCTTTTCTTTCCCAAAATTGTGAAAACTTCCTATGTTTTCTTATATAAGTTTTCCGTTTTGTTTTGTTTTTTAAGAGAGAACTGGGGGAGTGGTGGTGGGGAGAGGTAAAGATCTTAAGCAGGCTCCACACCCAGCACCGAGCCAACACAGGGCTCGATCTCACGACCCGAATCAAAATCAAGAGGTCTACACTTAACCTACTGAGCCACCCAGGCGCCCCTCTTATGCACGTTTTAGAACACGAGATTCTGTTGAGGTCTAAGGTGGATTTCAAGTTAATTTTTGTACATGGTTTGGTTTTGGTTTTTTTCCCCTTAATTTTTCTTTTTTAAAATTTTTAAAAATTCTTTTTTTTAACAAACCCTTGTGTCAAAGGCTGAATTTCAATAGATCGCAGCAAGGGAGCTGCTCTGCTACATACAAACCCCGACCCAGAAGCAGGTCGTCTACGAAGGGTTTGGCACCAGGTTCCCCACGAACGTGCGTTGCGTCACCGGCGACGGGGCAGCCCCCTTCCCTGGGACAGGGGCTCTCCACATCAGATCCCGGTCACGACATGTGGAGGCCCGCCGGCAGGGAGGTGGGGGACCCACTATCCGAGGCCAACCAAGTCTCTGTGGCGCTGCCTTATCGGTCTGCCTGGGCAGGATTCTGACTTAGAGGCATTCAGTCATAATCCCACAGATGGTAGCTTTGCCCCACTGGCTCTTCAGCCAACCACATATGAGATCAGTTTTTTTAATGTGGGTATGCACTTGTTCTGGTACCATTTCTTGGAAAGATTATTCTTTCTCCCACTGAACTGCTCTGTCACCTTCGTGAAAAACTTACTATATAACCACGCATGTACTTCTGGATTCTATTCTATTCTGTTGATTTACAATTCTATCCTAGGCCAATAGTACAATGTCTGGATTTCTCTAGTTTTTTAGTAAGGAGGACTTATTACCTGACTTCAAATTTTATCTTTTTCAAAATTGTTAAAGCCCTCCTTTGCCTTTCCATAAAAATTTATAATTCGCTTGTCAGTTTCTGGGGGAAAAAAACCCACTAGAATTTTAATTTGAATCTACAGATCAACTGAAAACGGACATCTAAACATTACTGAGTCTTCCAAACTATTATCATGATCTCCCCATTTCTTACGGTACACTTAATGTCTCTCAGCAAAGTTTTATAATTTTCAGTATACAGAACTTTCATATATTTTGTAAAATTTATTTCTAAACAGTTCATGTTCAGAGACACTTATAATGGTGTTTTAAAGTTTCTATAATTTTCATTTCTAAAAGACAGAAAATGCAACTGAATTTTTAACATTAACTTTGTACCTAAATTTACATATTATTTTCAACAGTTTTTTTTGTTTAAGATCCCTTGGGATAGGGGCACCTGGGTGGCTCAGGTCGTTAAGGGTCTGCCTTTGGGTCAGGTCATGATCCTGGGGTCCTGGGATCAAGCCCCATATCAGGCTCCCTGCTCCCTGTAGATTTCTCAATGCATCTACAACTTACCTTTCTAGGCTCTTCTCATCCCTGCCTACTCAACAGAATGCCCTTTGAGATACTCTAAAATGAGGTGCTCAGGTTCTATGTAATCTTATTCGACCAAAACAGAATCTTTGGGGAGAAAGGACCAGGTATCTGCATTTTTAAAAAGCTCCTCTATGGCCAGCCAGGCTGAGAACTTTGAAACAGGCAGGGAACTATGAAGGTTAAAAAAAAAAAAAAAAAAATACCTTGATCTGTTGTCTCCGTAGCATGGCAAGTTCTCTCATGTCTCGGAATGGCTGTAGTAAATACTGATATAGTTCAGTTGTGGCTTCTGCAAGGCTGCTATAGGCTTCATCCTCCATCTGATACAAGTCCAGAAGCTCGACCATGCTTTCTGTATTCTTGTGCTTATCCAAAAGCTATGGAACAAGAAAATTTTATTACAAAGAATCTGATTATAATAGCCTATAAATACTTCCTTTTAACTCCCTCCCTTATCCTCTTCGGATGTTAGAATACTGAAACACAGAAGGAATGAAAATCACTGAATGCTTTTCATCATTTACCTCCATGCTGAGATGTCTTACTCCTCAAGACCTGCTTGAATCATCCCTTTCAAACTGCTCTCATCATATTATTCCTGTTCTGTGTATTTTCTGGGACTCCATACTATCTATCTGCCTAGACTTAAATCCTTAAATATATTTTCCCAAGTATCTTGTAGCTTTCTCCGTATTTATAAAAAATTTTTTTCTTTGCTAATATACAAAGTAGTTAACAACTCTTACAATATTATTTTACTAATTTTCCCAAATCTTCTTGGCACTCCCCTCCTCCTCCCAGTTTGGAACATTCCCACATTAACTTTCAACTCCCACTTACCACATCCCTCAAAATCTAGGTTAATAAAAACCTCAACTATACTAAAGAGTTTAAGACTGACTATAATAGATTTTTATAACTATTACTTGCACTCCTTGGTACTCGTGTATGTGTTTGTGTATGTTTTCATTCATTCCTCAGCAAATACGGACATCTAACACATTAGGCACTGGGCTAAAAGCTGGGCATACAAAAACATGGTTGTTCTCTTCAGGAAGTTTACAGTGTGGTAAATAAACAGAAACTAAATAACTAAAACTAAGTAAGTTTTTAAAAAATTACAAACTGGGGCACCTGGGTGGCTCAGTTGGTTAAGTGACTGCCTTCGGCTCAGGTCATGATCCTGGAGTCCCGGGATCGAGTCCCGCATTGGGCTCCCTGCTCAGCAGGGAGTCTGTTTCTCCCTCTGACCCTCCCCCCTCTCACGCTCTCTTCTCTCTCAAATAAATAAATAAAATCTTTAGAAAATAAAAATTTAAAAAATAAAAATTACAAACTGTGACAGTCTCATTTCAAAGGCACAAAATTCTGCTTTTTATTCCATACCTAAAGTTTTCACTACTATCTTCCTCCCCAACTTTTTGCTTTAGTTACATTGCGCTATACATATTATACTCAATTTAGAGTCCAAATTCACTTCCTGCCCAGATTCTTACCACTAAATGTAGCAACACCTATGCCTTAGTCTTTTGCCTACTATATCATTAACAATCATGATGGATCAGATAATCTAAAATGTTTTTATGACAAAGAAGTACTATATAAATACTTGTTATTCTGTTAATATTCTAATTCCAACTTCCACTGCTAACATGGAGAATTTCCACTATCCAGTATCATCTGAATAGTTCCTCTTAGACCAATTCTCCCATTGATGGTGACTATAAACCCTGGGAAAATATTACAACACTACTACCTGAAGGCACTGTAAAGTGACCAGAAATAAATAAAAACTGGAAAGAACATCAATACTTAGAAGATAGGAAAACCGTAAGTGAGTTTTTATTCACAGCATTTAGCCTGAGGGGAGGCCCCAGTGGCTGCCAGAGGAGAGAAGTTTGGCTGAAACAGAAAGTTTGGTGCTTGAAGAATCAGAGGACTGAGTTCAAGACAACCACAGCACCTAGAAAAGGGGGTAAACGCTGAAACGGAGAAAGCCAGGGAGGAAATCCCAAATTGGTATATAAACTCTACTCAAGGGGCATCTGGGTGGCTCAGTTGGTCTTAAGCGGCTGCCTTCGGCTCAGGTCATGATGTCAGGGTCCTGGGACGGAGCCCCCAGCTGGGCTCTGTGCTCGGGAGGGAGTCTGCCTCACCCTCTGCTCTGCACCCCCCCTCCCCCCACTTGTGCACTCTAACAAATAAAAATTAAAAATAAATAAATAAACTCTACTCAAATTTCAGGCTGATTACCAGAACTATGTACGTACAAGATAGGCTGTGGGCAAAGCAGCTAAAGATAAAAATGTAATATTTTAGCTGCGCTTCTGTGAACGATGAGTAGTCTGCAGTTGAACCAATTAAATTAAGTATCTGCTAAAACAAATCTATTTAAAAAAAAAAAATCAACATTCTCTGGAGGAATATAACACACAACAGAGGCTCTGCAAGGTACCATTTATAATGTCCAGAATACAATCCAAATTTAGCAGACCTATAAAGAAATAGGAAAACAAAACAATGCTCAAAAAGCAATTAAATGGAGAACTGTAAGATGAGATACTTTCGATTTCGCACAGATTTTAATTCTAATTTTTTTAACGATTTTAATTTATTTGATAGAGAGAGAGAACGAACACACAAGCAGGGGGAGCAGCAGAGAAGCAGGCTCTTCGCTGAGCAAGGAGCCCGCTGTGGGCCTCGATCCCAGGGCCCTGGGATCATGACCTGAGCTGAAGGCAGACACTCAACTGACTGAGCCACCCAAGAGCCCCTCAATTTAGCAAAGATTTTAAAGCATTATAAAATGCTAATGAATGCAATTTGCTCATGAAGAATAAAAGTCTCAAAGGAGAAATAATTTTTTAAAAATATTTTATTTATTTGAGAGAGAGCAAGTGAGCACGGGGGGTGGGGGGTGCTTGGGGGCTTGATCTCATGGCCCCGAGATCTTGACCTGAGCCAAAGTCAGATGCTTAACCGACTGAACCACCCAGGCACCCCTAAAGGACATTCTAGAACTAAAAAATATAGTGTCTAAAATAGTCCTAGGGCACGGACACACTAAGAGGTTAAAAGATTAAAAAAGTAATCTTAAGTCTATGATGAGCACTTCCTATTCCCCTACTTCCTTGCTGTTGCATCAGTAGAGCTCCTGTATAAAAGAATGAAACTGGGCGCCTGGGTGGCTCAGTTGGTTAAGCGACTGCCTTCGGCTCAGGTCATGATCCTGGAGTCCCTGGATCAAGTCCCGCATCAGGCTCCCTGCTCGGCAGGGAGTCTGCTTCTCCCTCTCCCACTCCCCGTTTGTGTTCCCTCTCTCGCTGTGTCTTTCTCTGTCAAATAAATAAATAAAATCTTTAAAAAAAAAAAAAATAAAATAAAATAAAAGAATGAAACTGAAAAAAACTTCATTTTTTTAAGATTTTAAGAAGTGGGCGCCTGGGTGGCTCAGTCATTAAGCGTCTGCCTTCAGCTCAGGTCATGATCCCGGGGTCCTGGGACTGAGCCCCGCATCGGGCTCCCTGCTCCGCAGGAGGCCTACTTCTCCCTCTCCCACTCCCCCTGCTTGTGTTCCTGCTCTCGCTGTCTCTCTCTTTGTCAAATAAATAAAATCTTAAATTAAAAAAAAAAAAAAAGATTTTAAGAAGTAACTAGAAAAACCCAAAACACCACGGGAGACAACCAAAGACACCAGAGGAAATCCTAGCCTCTGCCACCTATAGCAATTGCCTAGATTAACACAGATGAGTCTCCTCTAGGTGAATAACAAAACCTCAGTCTAAAGGCATATTTCTCTCAGCTCCTTTTGCCTAGTACCATCACGTCCAGCTTTCAAAAAAAATTACAAGGCATATTAAAAGCACAGTTTGAAGAGACAGCAAGCATCAGAACCATACTCAAGTAAAGCAAGGATATGGGAATTATCAGACCAGGAATTTAAACTATGATTAATATGGTAAGTGATCTTGGAGTGCCTGGGTGCCTCAACAGGTTGAGTGACCGACTCTTGGTTTTGGCTCATACCATGATCTCATGGTTCGTGGTATCGAGCTCCATGCTCAGAGGGGGAGTCAGCCTGAAGGCTCTCTCCCTCTGCCCCTCCCCCCACTCCTGCTCGCACCTCTCTCACACACACACACACTCTCTCTTAAATACACAAATAAATCTTTTTTAAATTATGCTAAGGAATCTGATGGAAAAAGCGGACAACATGCAAGAACGAATGTATATAACATAAGCAGAGAGTTGGAAATACTAGGAATCAAAAGAAAATGCTATAAATCAAAACCACTAAAATGCAAAAATGCAAAAAAATAGGCTTATTATTAAGCTGGACAAAACAACAACAAAACAAACCAGCAAATGAGCTTGAAGAAATGTCAGCAGAAACTTCCAAAACTGAAAGGCAAAAACAAAAAAAATATTTGAAAAAACAAAATATCCAAGAAGCATGGGACAATTACCTACAAAAGAGTAAGGAAAAATTTGTATCAGACTTCTCTTCAGAAACCATGCAAACAAGAGAAGTAGACTGAAATAGTAAGAGTTCAGAGGTCCCTGGTCGGCTCAGTCAGAAGTTGTGATCTTGGAGTTGTGAGTACAAGTCCCACATTGGGTATAAAGATAACTAAAAACAAAACAAAACAAGACAAAAAAAAACTTAAAAAAAAGTTAAAAATCCATACACCTAGAATTTTGTATTCAGTGAAATTACCTTCAAAATTGAATGAGAAATAAAAGAGATCCTCAGGCAAACACAAATTGAGGGAACCTGTCTTGCAAGAAATATTAAAAGATTATTTGTCAGAAAGAAGGAAAATTATATAGGTCAGAAACTTGGATCTAGGTAAAGAAAGGAAGAATGTTAGACAAGAATAAAAGTAAAAAAAAAAAAGAATAAAAGTAAAATAACATCTTTTCCTATTATTCTTAACGGATCTAACAGCTACTAGTTTACTCAAAATAGGAGTCACAATACATCCAGTGATTACACCTTACGGATTAGTAAAGTAAATGACAGCAAGGTTACAAGGGACAGGAGGGAAGAACTGGGAATACCTTGTTATAAGGTACTTGTACTACATGTAAAGTAGAACAGCATGATCTGAAAGAAAGGTTGGTTAGGGGGCGCCTGGGTGGCTCAGTTGGTTAAGCGACTGCCTTCGACTCAGGTCTTGATCCTGGAGTCCCAGGATGAGTCCCGCATCGGGCTCCCTGCTCTGCAGGGAGTCTGCTTCTCCCTCTGACCCTCCCCACTCTCATGTGCTCTCTCTCTCTCTCATTCTCTCTCTCTCAAATAAATAAATAAAATCTTTAAAAAAAAAAAAAAGGTTGGTTAGTACTGCAAACCTATTATCGCAAACTTGAATGCAAC